TATTATTTTCTATTTTCAGGTGAAATTCCTTTAATTATTTCTCTTTTTTGTAAGTTTTAAGCTTAGAAAATATTTAGGATTTAGAAAAATTTGATCCAGGACGACATTAACATTATATTATTTAAACTTAGAGAAGCATTATGATATGTTTACATTACAAAATACGATTCGGTGCCCTGAGTATTGACTGAAAGGCAGCAGGTTGGTTTTTTAATCTCATCATCCAAAACTTAATTTCTTAGTTCTTCCTAAAAGCCAAATTTGATTATAGACAGTTTATAATTACTTTAGTACTTGGAGGAGAAGCGTAGTTTTCAGCTCCGGATGGTTTTTCCTCTGAATACAGCAGATCAGTGTTCACTATGACAAAAAGCATAAAAATCCATGAATCAATTAATCTATTTCCTGACTGGACACCAATCCTTATCAGATGAAACTGCTCTGTGTGGCAGTGTGACCTCTGACCTGTGTCCTGCTGCGGGTATGATGTATGCGTCTCAGAGAAGCATCTGAAGATCTGCCAGATTAAGATTGCCAGCGCCACCAGAAGGAGAAGGATGGAAATTCCCAGAATGCAGTACTTGACTGCGTCTGAGAACGGCATCCTCAGCTGTCCGGTGGACAGCAGCTCCACATCGGCTGGAAACTCCACAAAAGTCAGCATGTCTCTCTACATCCATGCAGTCGCTACAAACTCTGCAATACGATCAGAAAGACATGTAAAGTTTTAGAAATACTTAAGTTTGTTTCTTTTTAAAAAGAGACACTATTTGGTTTGTAGGTATGTAGAAAGGGAATATGTGACATTTAAATACTTTGTGGAGCCTTTTTTATTAATAATTTATAAAGAGTATTGGTATTAAATAGCCAAGGACGTGTCAAACTGAAGGCCTGGGTGCCAAACCCAAACCCAGTCCACCATAGCTTTTTATAGTTAACTATCAGAATGTGATTATTCAACGAACACCCTACACAAAATAATCTTATTTACATAAACATAACCTGCCTGTCTTGTTTTTTATACTTAAAAAATGTCTGCACAGACACATGCATTCTTTTTTGTTTCTTCCCCTTCCTGCTTTCTGTAGCAATCAGATTTGAGTTTTTATCTTAGAAGTTTCCAACACGTCAATATTCCACTGATTTCCTTTGTATTCAGTCAGACTCTCTTTTTCTCCTTGTTTTGGACATTTCATCTTTTTAAGTTTGGTTCTGGTTTTTATTCTCTTCTGAATGTCATTCCAGATTGTATATAACCTGTTATTTCAGTCATTAAAAGTTAACTTGCTACATATCTTCTTATTGATTTACTCTCTATGCCTTGTTTCCAGCAGTTAGAGGAAGAAGATGCCATTTCAAAATGATTGGTTGATATGGTTTATAGGGGTGTCAAACTCCAGTCCTCAAGGGCCGCTGTCCTGCAACTTTTAGATGTGCCTCTGCTGCACCACACCTGAAAAGAATAATTAGGTCATTAGCAAGGCTCAGGAGAACCGATCTACACAGGGAGGAGGTAATTAAGCCATTTCATTCCACTGTTTTTTACCTGTGGCACATCTAAACACTGCAGGACAGCGGCCCTTGAGGACTGGAGTTTGACACCCCTGGTTTATACTTTACAAGAAAAAGCAACTTTTGAAAAAAGGAATGGACTTACTATATAAGCAATTTACTAAGTAAAAGTTATGGCAAATGAATATGTAGTCAGTCCAGCTAGATTAATAAATTTAATCCTGAAAGACAAAATATCAATTTCTGAAGACAAATTAGGATACATTTAAGCTTTGGGGGCTTAAAATGCCTTAAAAAACTAATTTGCAACACATAATCTGTAAAGATCATAGCTTTAGAGACAATACTGTATTGACAATATAATTTTGTTTCTTTTACTTAGCGTCAGAAGTTAGGAAAAAGAGCAAAATGCCTCCTTTAAGATAGAGACATTCAGGGTGTTCTTCCGGGATAAAAAGAAAATGATTATGTCTGCTGCTTGGTTGTAGGCAGACAATATTATCTCCTATCAGATTAGCCTTAGTCAAATAGCACAACCTGCTCACTCACCATGCAAATTATGATGAATATTAGCAGGAAAGTGGAACAGGTGGCATTCCCAATTAAATAATATAAAACCTACAATTTATTCACACACATTGTATAAATTCACTATGAGCATTTCCTAAAATAAAGACAAGTCTTGTGTACTTTTTTGTAAACCTGGCAGCTTCCACCTGTAACAACTCAAATCACATAAAAAACACATTACCTGCTGAACTTTATACAAGCTCACTTCTTTTCTTCCAAAAATTCTTATTCTCATGCTGCACATCCATATTCAGACCCATTCAGTGGTCAGAGAAACAGGAGAAGTTTCCCTCTGAGAGCAATTCAAGTTCACGTCATATCAATGAACTGTTCCTCCTGCTTTGCAAACTCTAGACACACTCAGACACTCCCTCTCCCTGCTTTCTCTCTCCTCACACACTCAACACATGACTTTCTGCAGGGCATTCTGGGAAAACAGGTTGGAGAAGATTTCAGGGATGTTTTAGGAAACTTGTTACCTGAAGTTAACTACATTCCTCTGCAGAAAAAATACTGGCAAGATATAGTCATTTGAACCGAAGGATTATTTGGGTAATATTTTTTAAATATTTTTGTATCGAATATCAGTGAGGCTATGTGCACACTGCAGCCTGAATTGACCCAATTACGATTTTTTTCCTTAATGCCATCTTTTTTCTGATAGGTTCAAATGTGACCTGAATCTGAACAGCCACGTCGCATTCATCCCATAGACCGGAACGTCTTTGATACTCGACAAACGTCACTATTCTGCGCCCTGATACGCGAAAGCGGGACGAGAAACAGCAACCAAAATGAGGATTAAGTTGTTAATGTGCTGGCTCCGGTCGGACAACTTCAAAATCTTAAAATATGCTCCACCATTAGCATCTACGTTTACTTCCGCAAACACTGAGCACTTCTTTTTAATTGCGGTTGGCAAAACACTGAGCGCATGGTATTGCGGCCTCTACTGGGCTTGCAGGACGAGTCGCAAATATTTAGAAGTGTGATTTCACACACACAAAAAAATATCGGATTTGGGTTACTTCAGGCTGCCGTGTGAACATAACATAGCCATAGATTCAAGTCACTGATATTAACTAAAAACGTTTTTTTGTGGAAAGTCTCCCGGCTACTTAATTAGGGGCGTGGCCACAGGGACGGCTGGAGGAAGGGCTTCAACTCCCCATGAAAGTAATTATCCAACACATAAGAGGAAATGTATCTAAAATAGCAACAAGATTAAAAGATAATTCTAAGTTAACCAGCAGTTCTCATCACGAGTATGAGGAAGAAAGATTTTCACTAAACAAGTTCCTTGTTCAACAACAGAGTCCAGTCCCTCACAAGGCAAAACAGCCATGAATGCCATCATGTTTTGAGCTGTGGGAGGAATCCAGAGTAACTGGAGAAAACACACTGAAGCACTGGGAGAAACATGCATATGTTTCAGCAAACCGTTATATAGGCCTGAGCAGGGATTCCCACTTTTCCCTTCCATGGTCCGCCTAGAAGGGCATTAATATCTGGCCAATCACCTCCTTTGCAAACACAAAGACAATGCTACAAGATATGTAAAGAAACATCAATCTTTAGAATATTTTTTATTCATTATTTGCTTAATTATTTCATCTATTTAGCATAAATGCTGCCTCCCACTGTTTATCAGATAATATATTATGACTTTATTACCAAAAAATAAATTTTTTCACCACACTCCTCTCTTTTGGTTATAAGAAAATATGAAATATTTTATATTAAACACATCAAATTATATTTATTTCCTCATTTCTTATGGCTTTTTTCAGTAGAGTCATCGAAAGGCTGCTGGACAGTTCTTTTGATCTTTCTTGTCAGAAACTTTTCAGTTTCTTGCTAGCTATGCAAGCTTGGTGATCACAGCAGCTTGATGAATTTGAAAGTCAGTTAATCAGAAAATGAGCAGCAGAAATAATGTTTAAATAATTTTGTCTAACTTGTGTTTTATTGAAAAACAGAAATTATGATGAAAATGTAAGATTAAAAACTATGAGGTGTTAACTTTTGTTTTTATTTTTTCATTTATTTTCTCTCTAACTTTCCGAGGCCTCCACAGCGCCGCCTGGCGGTCGACACTTTGGAAAACACTGGCATTTCGTCATAGGCATTTATTTATTTATTTACTTACTTACTTACTTACTTACTTACTTTTGGCTGAAATGGCTTTCCATAGATATATAGCTACCCACTTATTACAAAATCGCTGGATGAAAAACTGGATCAAAAAGGGCTGAATGGGGGTAAATGTTCCTCATCACTTTATTCAACAAAATTAATTGTACACAGTAATTATACAAATATGAACACATATTTTTTCTGTGCTGCTGGAAGTGAGTTATCCAACACATAAAAGGAAAAATATATAAATTAGTCCAGCAGCAATGAGACTAAAAAAATGGATAAGCACGTCTTTACCTGTCATAAACTTTAACCTTTAAGGATACATCTTCTGGATTGGTTGTAATTTCTAGGAACATTGAGCACTTTGTCTACTCTTAGTTTAACAGCTCCTTTAAACATGTTAATTATGATAATGTTTCTCATTAAAAAGTTCGTGAAATATCTGAAAGTTTCCTAGGGAATCATGTTTGAACAATACGTCCAGTCAGAGAAATTAGAATCACGAGTCATTTAAAATAATTAGATTATATCAGGACAGGTTAAAATGTGGGATTAGCATTTAAATAAACAGCGCCGCTTAGTGGCCAGATATGGAATTAGTTTATAAATTCATTATGCTATTTTGTCCATCCATTTTCGCTAA